TAATTTTGAGAGAAAATATTCCTGTAACTCTTGACTAAATTCAATAATAATTTTTTTTGTTTGAATTCTATATATTGGTATAATTCAAACAAAAAAAGTTTTATCAAATTTGGTCAGGTGGTTATCAAGATATCTTTGCTCAAAGTTAGAGAAAATTTTGCACAATTCCTACTTTGATAGGTGTTTTTATTTTCCTCTAATTTTGAGTGAAGATATCTCGACAACCACATAGCTAAATTCAATGATAATTTTTTTTTATTTGAATTCTATGAATCTATAGAATTCAAATTTAAAAAGTTTTATCAGATTCAAGTGGGTAGTTGTTGATATATCTTTGCCCAAAGTTTTTAAATTTTTTATTTTTGTGGGGGTGGCACTAACAAATTGGGAGGTGGCAATAACAACTTCCATGATATAATTATTTTAGGGTTAGGGTTTGGGTATTAAGAATTATTTTTTTATATAATATAATATAGAGCTAATATAAGGTTCCAATCTCAGTTTTTAGGAAGACCTGAATATTTTTATTTAGAGTACCTGATCTCATTTACTTAGTCATTTTTGAGAAATAAGAACCTATAGTGTAAAACATTATAAGTGCATTTTAGTAAAATTCTAAAATTAAATATGCCAATATACTAGATTTTTATATGCTAAACAAGCTTATTTAGAATATAAAATAGTAAAATTTTAAGATTTAAAGTATTTTTAATAATAAAATTAATAAATAATAATATAAAACTTAAAATTTACTAATTAATTTTTAATTTTATTTTTTAAAAATAAACTTGTTTAAAATATAAAAATATATTTATATTGTTCAAATTTAAACAGTTTGCAAACTTCAAGCCCAAAGCCAATTAAATATTAAACTCAACCTTTTTAAAATTTAAATTTGGTTTAATTTTCAAACTAAACTCAAATTTAACTAAGTTTGTTTTAGTTTGGTGTAATTATTAGTTAATATTATTATTTATCAAATACAATTTTATTTTTATATTACGTTATAATTGCTTAATATAAAAAATAATAAAATTTTTAAATTATATTTTATTAAATATAATAAATAATATTACTGTATAAAAAAACCATCTTTACTAATAATCAAAAAGTTAACATCTCGATTTATTATAAATAATTTGCAAATTTATATAGTAATATATTATGCTTTAGGCTTTAGTATTATTTAAAATATATTTTTTAAATATAATATTGGTTATATGAGTGCTGCCAATGGAAATTGAGACGTTGAGCTTTTAATTTTATCATATGGAGCGTTGTCAATCAAAACGTACCGAGATTAAAAAAATTGTTAGGATAAAACTATTCGTAACAGCCTGTTACACACTTTTTTGTAACAGTTTGCTTATAACTCAAAATTTTACTAAGATAATCTTCTTTTGCGTTACTAATGAAAAATGATCCTCTCAGCAATTTTGTATTAATCTTGACACTAACTCTAAACCTAACCTAACCTAACCTAACACTAACCCTAACACTAACTCTAACCCTAACCCTAACATTAATAGGCTGTTACAAATAAGCGGTGTAACGGGCTGTTACAACTAGATTTTTTCAAATTGTTATACAAAATTAATCGTAACATGTTATTTGTAACAACTTACTTAGTATAATAAATTAGTCGGACATTAACATAGATTGATCAACGACACTCCACGTTACAATTAATTTTTTATTAGCAGTTTTTTTAATCTCACTATGGTGCGTTTTGATTGACGACACCCCATTTATTACTTACCGGATTCAGCCTCACTAATAACGTTTTTTTTGAGCCAAATATAATAAATTATAAATAGTAAACTTAAAAGTCCGAGGTCTCATTTTTCCTTGGCAGCATTCATATAATTATATGACATAAGTCATATCTATATATTAGTTATTTAAGTTAGGTTATTGGAATTGTATATAAGAGTAGAAGTAGTCAGAGTTTTTAGTACATTATTGGGCGAACACCGGTAATTTGGCAAATGAGCACGTGCTGCTTAGAGGCACGTATAGCCAATCATTTGTCAAATTACAATAATGTTATCCGATCATGATTGGTAGGGAGTCGCTCGCTGAGTTTTAATTTGAATACTGGAATAAACATAATTAGTAACATGAAAAAAATAACAAAAAGAATTTTTTTCATATGAGTTTGTCGGATAATAATCATTATTAATTATTAATAATTCAGGAGGTCCCATCACTAGTCATATTTAAGAGTAAAAAAATTTTTTATTTAAAATTCGCTTCTACTGTAACAGTCAGACTGTTACAGTAGAAGCGAATTTAAATAAATTTTTTTACTATTAAATATGACCAAACGATTTGGTCATTCTAGATCATCGACTAATACTGAGGGTTTCAGAGTTAACTTATTTTGAAAATAGGTGGGAGTTTGAAAAGTCCTATTTTTGTTTTGAAATTTCGAAATCAGAAAATGAAAAGGAGTTATCCGGAGATAAAATAAACAAACTTTTTTTAATGATGTATATTATATCTTATTATTAATACCGATACGCCACTAATTTAATCCGAAATCAGAAGCTTGAACCTTAGGTCTGGAACCCCTACTGAATAAATATAAATTATCATCAAAATAATTATCCTTTGGATTTCTACATAACTTGCAGTGTACCAATTTGGGCATAATAAAATTTTTAATTGGACATATTCAAATTCCAATTAAAAATATTTGATCATAATGACTTAACATCACTGATAACTTGCACAAAATTACTCGTTTTCACACACCCCTAATGTTACTGTTATGTTTTTTTAAGCAGTATATACTGTACACCTCTATATTTATAGATTTGCCGTACGTACGTAATCATCGTAACCCACTAACGTCATAAAATTGCTATTTTAGTTACTTATATTCTATAACGAATAAAAAGTATTCCCTCATCAGTTTCTTTTTTTTCTTATTAATTTTAAAAAAATAATATTGAGGTGAATTTGGAAGAGAAATAATCAAAATAATCGGGACTTACCATTAATCGCCATTTAAAATTTTACGATAATAATGAAAATAAACTTTCATAGACATCTATAATTATTAATGAAAATGATAAAATCTTTTGTTTAAAAAAAACTGAAACATTCCAGTAATGCATTGAAAAATTCATAAATAATAGGGCTAAATCTCTTTTTTTGCGTTTGAAGAACACATTGTTACAGTGCATATCATTGCCAAATGAAAATTTAGTAATACACGCCGTACTTTTTAAATACTTACATGCATCTATTGTTGCTCCAAGAATGTTGAGATAATACAGTAATAACAGGAAAGTATCAAAAATTAAATTGCGGAGAAAAAATCCGAAATTGATAATGATCTATTTCTTTAGTAACTTTACGCTTACATTACAAAGAATAGATTATATCTAATTTCGAGAACAAATGTAAGTATATCCTTTTTCAGATTTGTGCAATTAAAAGAAAATGTTATAGAAAATCTAGAATTTCTGTCTTACATTAATAAGCAAAACATTAAAAAATTAATTTCCATAAAGAGACTGTGTAGAACTGTTGGATGATTGACACACGCGTAAGTTGTTATTTTAAGAATTTCCATCACTGATTTTCGAGGTGCAAAGGAAGGATAACTCCGTGTCAAAAAAAGCATTTAAGTGGAATAACTCCATCTTTTCTGAATCGTTGTCAAAAAAAGAAGTCATCGGTCTTTAAATAAGTCACCATACCTCCCCCCCTCTAAACTTATATCGTTGCTGTGTTATTCAATAAAATAAATCAACATGCAAAACAAATGCGCTAGCCGAAATACTACTCCTTTGGGGAAATTTAGTAAATTCTTCAAACGATTATATCGAAAAAAACCAAAGCCTACTTGTCAAGCATCAGGATGTAGCAATCTTTGTGCAAAAAAAGACAAATTTTGTAGTGCTAATTGTGAATCATTATTCACCTCTTCACCAACTTTATTAAACTCTGAAAATTCTGCAATAAAATTGAACAATGATTTTCAGAAAACATCTACTACTTCTACACCAATAATAACTATATCGCCTGTACAGGCTAACCCTCCGACAACATCATCTTTCTTCACTCGTATTTTAGAACGCAAAGAAACTACTGAAAGTGAATTATCGGGTGATGATGACGACATCTCATCTAATGGCAAAAAAAATAAGCCCAAAAAATCTAGGAAACTGATGTTCCTTGCACCTAAAGCAACATATTCAGAAAGTTCTATTTCTAGCGAAGCATCCAGTGATCTTAATGATTCAGCGTATGAATCAACAAGTTTGGAGGAACCTCTAAAAAAATCGAAAAAGAAATATACTGGAAAGACAATAATGACGGTACTGAAATCCAGTGATGAGGATTACAAAAAAGTCAAAAAAATGTTTCAAGTTGGACTTCCTAAAAGTACTATTCTTGGAATATTTCAATTACAAATGCCAACTAGACTTGTGGATGATCATGAAACATATAAAGTCAAAATTGCTGATAGTATAAAAACTACAAATGACAGAGTAACGCATAAAATGTTTCATGGTACAAAACATACTGATAATTGTGATCCTCAACGGTTTATCAAAACTCGCAATGCTAGATTCTGCAAATCAGGTTGTGGATTTTGTGGAATTGCACAAGCAGGAAATCAATCCAAATTTTCTAATTATAATGGCAGTAAGTATCTTAATTTACTTTTTTTTCACTTGCTATCTTCCTAGTGCTGATTATCTTTTGTTTTTCGATAGAAATGTGGTTCGCCAACAATTCGATCACTTCATTGGGTTATTGCGGAACTTATAACGTAAAGACTATGTTCGTAGTTGATGTAATTGCCGAAAAATACGAGGGAATATTAATAGTTCGTGATAATGCAGTAAGTATCACAAATTGTCTTAAGTTACATCGATCTTATGCTTAAAAAATATATATATATATCTAATTGTAATATCTAACTAAATAGGCAACGATTCCAAAATATCTTATCATATTTAAATGAAATGAAAGAGGGAATGTTTTGCATGTGCTGTGCGCATTAATAATATTTTTAATTTTTTCCTTAATATATAAGATCTTTGCTAAGAAAATGTTTTTTGATTTTATGGTTTACATAATCTTGTAGTATAATTTTTCTTAGAGAATAATTTTCTTAGAAAAGATCTCATATTATTTTCTATCTTTGTAAATCAAAGATTCATGAACATATTTGGTGATATTATTTAAAGACATTTTTTGATGACATTATTCGACATTATCAGAGACATTATTTATGACATTATTTATGGACTTTATCAAAGACATTTTTCATGAACATTTTTCATGAACATTCATGTACATTTTTCATGGACATTTTTCATGAACGTTATTCAATTTGGAAATTAAGTTTTGATGAACTTATCGTTCTAAATTTATATAATATATAAATAAAATATATATTTAGAATTCTAATTAGAATTCTAACATTATTAATAATAACTAAAAATTTTTAGAAATATTGTAAACCCGCGAAATAACGACTATAACTAAATCAGATTTTCAAAAATGGCATACAACACCCATGTACGTCAATAATCAAGTTCAGAAAATGGCCGAGACAACGTACATGAGAATACTCAAAATAATATAATATGCGTGCGTTATTCCGTGCTGAACTAATATACAAAATAGAATAATACCTCCCAACTTTTCTTCGAAACGTAAAATATTTACCAAATGTATAATTATATAAGACTCGATATTTCAAATTATTCCAATTTCCAATTAATCAAAAATTCCAAAATTTTCAAAAAGGAGAAATAACCCTAACATTAAATTGAAATTGAATTATTGCTTGGATATTGCTTGGATCTAGTTTGAAAAATTCGGTTACATCAAATTATAAGTGTTAATCTGAATTTTTACTTCATATGTCCGATCTCCATATTTCAGTTTCTTTTTTAATGAATTTGTCTTGGCATAATTATAAAAAGCGCTGTAAATATATATATATATATATATATGCAACAAGTATCCCTCATATCTAATTTGATCGTATCAGTTTTATAATGTCCAAATTACATTTATATGAAATTATTGTATGCTGTAGTTGGAAAGTAGATCACGAATATCGGTGCAAGCTTAAGTACGATCAACATTATTTTCAGCATTCCATTTCCAGTTTGTAGTATAATGTTCGATTATGTGTTTGTTTATTAATGAAATTTCACAATAACGAATAAAAATATATATTATAAACTGGATTAGAATCCGATAAATCTATTTACGAATCCCAGATATTAGATTTAGGGATGGTAAAGTCCAGTCCTGGTCTCATAACCTGTAGGTTTTACTGCATGGACTTATGGACCAAGTCCTAGTTTTAGGACTTTAGTTAACTTAGGTCCAGTCATAGAACTTAGGTCCGCTATATGTGGATTTGGGGTGACTAGCGCTAGTACTCGCGACCTAAGACACAACAAAAATCAAAGGCTACTCGGAAGAAGGCGTGGAAGATTTGGTCCGAGAACCAAGGATCCTACTGCCACTAGGATCCCCGGAGTTTATCATTATATGGTCTTTATTATTATACGTAATACTTCACTTGTTTTCAGATACATGAAATCGATGGTTATTTATTACTTTTTTTGATTAATGCGCATTAAGGTTATGGCTTAGATCACGGTTTTTTGCTGCGGCTAGTTCACGTTACCCTGCAGTAACAATATTATGTCATTAAAATACATTTAGAACTTTATTGAAATTATACAGAATTATGCAATAGCGGAAATTTTGCAGTTGAAATGAATTTTATTATTTTTTAATAATAAATTATAATTTCATTTTAAACTACTATAAATTTCTATATTAGGACTTTTAAGACCTAAGGACCCTAGGCCCTTAAATTTGGACTTGGTCTTTAAAGACCAGGTTTAAAGACCAGGTCCTAAAGTCCCAGACCTAAGGACTTTACCAACCCTAGATTCAAGTACTAATTCATTGAATGTAATGTGTAATCAATGAGAAATGAATCGGTAATCATTCGATCTAACCGTTGATAGTGTCTTTCTGTATAAGGCAACAAACCATCCAATAACTAGATTGTAATAATGATATAAATGTTTACATCAAATATATAGTAAAACAAGTTTACATATTTTAGTAAGTAAACTTACTTCTTTTATGCCATTAACTTCTAATAATTCTTCTGACGAAAATTTTTTCAAAATAGCATTTAATATTGTTTGCGCGGTTCGAAAATGTTTGGCATTGGTGTTCCAATCACGAATGTATTTAAGCATTTGCTCAATATCTTCTTTGGAAAGAGTAGTAATAATATTATCAATAGATTCCGATCCTGTGATACTAGTATCTCCTATAAAAATTAAAATTAAGTATAAAACATGTTAAATCTCCATAAAATGAGAGAAAAATTAATTAGTCACCTTCAGCCCGGTTATTCAGTATTTCTGTAAAAAGATTCAGTAACCTAAATGGTTGATTCAAAGACATGGCAAGAGTAATTGCATTTTTATAATCCTTCTTTAGCAAATAATTTGCCAAATCCTGTTCTCTAAAATATCATTAAAATAATCACAGAAAAAAAAATATTATAATCACTAGTGATAACGTTAAAGTAAAACATTTCGTTGTATTAATTACTTTAAAATTTGTTCCTCTTCTTCTCTTACACGTTTCTCCATTTCTTCAATGGTGCAATCCTCCCATAAATTTATTAAAGAATCAGCACCACCTGATGCAACAACATTTTCGTCTTTGCGTGCTGTCAATGCCCATATTTTTTCTGTATGATTATCCAACGTAGCAATACATTCATTGGACTTAATTGTCCAAAGTTTAAGAAGACCATCTGAACCACAAGACATTAATTGGGTTCCAGATGTCAGAAATAAGGCTTTCAAGACAGTATTGGTATGACCTTCAAAGGTCTAACAAGTAGTTCATATAATAAGCATGAAAAATAAATATGGAATAATTAATTTAACATTTATCTACGACAATACCTTCAGACAAGAAAAGTCTGTTGTTGACCAAATTTTAATGGTTTTATCACCAGAGCTTGTTACTATAGTATGATCAATTGGTGAAAACTGGACAGACCAGACACCGCGTTTGTGACCAGAACAAGTACCAAGCAATTTTCCATCGACAACAGACCATATTTTAACAGTTTTATCTTGTGAACCAGTAGCAAAAATCTTATCATTTGGTGCAACTGCTATTGAGTTGATGTCTTTATCATGTGCTTTGTTAGTATATGAGGCTTTCGGTCTAAAATTCTCATCAGATTTAGATCGGTCTAAATTAAAAAACAATATTAAATGATAGGCTTTAAAAATTAGTTCTAAAAATATTGTCGGGATGATGCTGAAATTTGAACTTATTTTAATATGAAATTTTAAAAATTTTGGATTAGGGTTTATAATTAAAGAGAATAGGTAGGTTTTAGCAGGATATATATATATATATATTTAAATAGAATCCCTAAAGTTCAGGATCATTCGATTTTAGCATTATCTCTGACAAATATTATTTTACTTACCTAAATGTGATAAGTCCCAATATTTTATGGTACGATCCTGGCTACCAGTGAGGCAAAACTTTAAAGATTTCTTTGAAAGAGCTACAGTTCCAATTGCCGCAGTATGACCTATACATATACCTAAACAATTAACTCGATTGTCAAAATTCTCATTATCCACATCGATATTCCATATTCTTGCTGTATGATCCTTAGAACCAGATATTAATACAGTTCCATCATATGATTTATCCAGGCAAATAGCAATATCCGTATGTCCATATATAATATTAAAGTCAAAAGATTTAATATTGTACAAATTTATTTGTTCCGTATTGGTAGCAATAGCAAGATGGGTTTCGTCTTTTCCAACATATGAAAGGTCAATAATCTCATCGTTATATCCGACAATTTGTTTCACACGCTTAAGACCAGAATTAATTTGATAGAATAATATATTTTGATCACTAGTGATAACAGTCAAAATATTACTTTTACGGAGATATCTATAATGTTGGAATATATTAAAATAAATGATAATTAATTATGAAT